CCCCCCAGCTCAGTGACTGGTGCCTCCTGGATCTGGGAGGGCACCCAGGGTCTCCCTGTGGCTGATTTTGCTGCCGAGTGTGCAGGGGGCTCCCACATGCTCCTGTGGGATGCTCCATCCGCCCCAGCATTGCAGCATTCATGAGCTGCACCTGGTACCTCGAGGTATGTAGAAAAAACATTTATAGCTGCGTCTATGTCTGAATCACTGATTCTCTGAATCAGCATTGAATCTTCAGATTCAGATTCAGCTGAATTGAATCAGGACAGTGATCTGAATCAAATCATTGTCCCTGATTTGGGCTGAATCCAAATGCAAATCAAATAGGGCCTGTTTCACACACCCCTACTGAGGACTAGATGAGCTTCAACAATCTTCTTGCAATATCTCATGTTGATAATACAGCATTTTCCATTCATTATGTTCTTCCCTCTGAGATATCTGTAACAGCTAGGGAAATGAAAAATACCTGTATGCTTCTGCTGGCTAACTCAGCTGGCTAACTGTGTTCATTTCCCTGCTGCTTTAACTCTGGTCTACTGGTGACTTTTGATGGCATAGTTTTGTCAGCCAAGTGTATGAAAGGATTATACTCTTTCACCACCTCACATATGCCATGGAGAGATCTGGCAAAGAGAAGCAAAGAGAAAGTGTTTCCCTCTTCCAGGGTAGGAATCAAGCAGATGAATAGGTCAGAGGTTCACCATGGCTGATTAGAAAATCCTATCATACTGTATTAACACATCCAAATGTCTACAGCCTTTGAGCTACATTTGTGTATGGGGATGATAGGAGCTATGAGGCCTCCTTAATTATCAGTCAGGAGATCTGAGTTTGTAGTTGCTCCTTCTGGCAGCATTTTAAGTGCAGTTTCCATAGGGGATATCTTTGCTGGTCTGTTGATTTTTAGGGAGTAATGTGGACTTGTAGAGGTGTAGGATGTTTCCAGTGAGATTAACATTATTACTTATAGCTAAGCAGACTGCTCAAGGCATATTTGGCTGTTGTTGCTGCCTGAGTATTTGAATTTTATTTTACATTTAGTGGAAGAAAAAACTGTGTTGTGATTGTCTTTGATGCTCCCAGTGGAGAAGTCTGGAGTTGGTGCTGCTGGGCAGTTGCGAAGTGAGCTAATGTTCTGTTTTAGCTCAGATAAAACATTCATCTTTGTTTACCAGGAAGTCAAAAGGTGTTTTTTCTAAACCTAGGCAGGGAACAATTTTCCCATCTCTCAAACATTTTGAAATGTAAAGAAATGTTCCTGTTTTTATATCACAAATAAATCCAAACCTTTGGAAGTATTCTATAACCAAGCAAAAGGAACAACGGGATTCAGGGGACTGGGTATATGGAAGAGCAAAACTCAAGCCCTGGCTCTTCCTGATTCAGGATAGGGAGTCTTGAGTCTGAGTTCCTTCAATATCAGGTGAGCTCCTCTATTCTAATTATTTAAAGTAGAATAGAAGCAGGAGGAGAACAAAGTAGCTTCGTTGCTCAGAGCATTCCCATGGAATGTGGGAGATTCCAGTTCAAATTCCTCCTTCATTTAGAGTAAGGACTTGAATATGTGTAAGCGACTGTGCCATTCATCAGAACATCTGGTGTGTGCTGGCCTATTGGATGTCGCCATTGTCCAGAGGAAGGATGGTCAATTGCCGAGCCAGATTCTGGAGGGCCCTCAGTGGTTCTCACCTGCTCTGACTTTGCTGGAATAAATGTATTTAATAGGGAGGAAGATGTATGTTCCATCCCTCCTGGTCCCCTCTTCGATCCTCCCATCAATTTTCCCGTTTTGCGGCTCCGCCTCCCCTACACCCCACCTAGCGCCAACCAATGATGTCAAATCCCAGTCTTCTGGGTTTGGTCACAGTGTTGGTATACATCTTGGCTATTTGAAATGGTATATCACATACGGATGTCAGTTAGCCTCACTGGGATCTTGCCTCAGTGGGGCTGATCTAGCCTCTACCTGGCCCGGGGTTATCTTGACTCCCGGTGTCAGTTTCAGTGCTCCTTGCTTGTTGTAGCTGAGTCATGGACAGCTGTCTCTTCTCTCTGTAGGTTCCTGGTAAGCCCAATCTGCCTGGGAGACATCAGGAGTCCACGTATCTGTTTCAGGTAAGTACCGCTGCCCTTCTGCGCTTGCAATTTGTCTCAGTCTTGGGGCTGCCACCACTTTCCTCCTGTGGGGCAGAGCTCTGTATTGGGCTGCTAAGTGCCCGGAGGGGAGCCCACTTCCAATCCCCCAGCCTTCCCATCTGTTGGGGGTTTTTATCCCTGGTTCTGTGAGCTGGCCAGTGAATCGGCGTTGGCAAGTGGCCACAAAACATGACCACACCAGTGCAGGAGCTGATCCCGGCTCCTCCTGGCTCAGCTGTTTCTTTATTGGGTTTTTTTTGCTTTCGCCACAGTGCTTTCTTCAGCTGTGCCTCTACTCCTGCTGCTCCTTTGGCTTGGTGTGGTCTTGCGCCAGTTCCACTCATCTTCCACCCCAGGTAAGTTCCCATCTGTCATTTTATATTTGTCACAATATGGATATCCCACATTCTGGCTAGCGCCAAGACCACCAGGCTTTTGACTATTCTCAGATTTCCCTGTGGGGGGACACTTGTTATCTAGGTTTCAGCATAAATGTCATCCTGGAACTGAGAAACCTTTACCCAATAAAAAGTTCTGTAAAAACTTCACTACTTCTAAATCCACCCAATCACTACAAGGATCAGTGTCAGTAAGTAGGTATTTTCCAATGGAATACCATTTTGGCAAAAAATTCCTGCCTAACTCCAAACTTTTTCACCAAATGTTGGAAAGATGACCTAGAGTAGTGTTTCTTAAGCAGGGTACTCTGGGTGCCACTGGATCTTTTGAAGGTGCCATAACGTGTGAGGCTGTAGGTGGTGAGCAGATAAATTAATTAGATAAGTGCAGGCTCAGACTTGTCTCTGCCTGGAGAATCCCCCATTCCCTTTGTAAGGCTCCTCTGCAAGGAAGCAAGTGCTGTAATCTATAAATTAGTTTTTTTAAATTGGGTGCCACTCCATTTACAAAAGTTACAGAGGAGTGCCTTGAGTCCAAAAAGGTTGAGGAAAACTAGAGCCTAGATATTAAACACAGGCCTGATAAGAGCACATGGACCACAGGCTAAATTATTTTAAATAGGCAATTCTAAAAAAAGACATATTGCCTGACTACTGCAATAGTTTCCACTGCCAAATAGTGAGACTAAAAATTTGACTAGTTATACTAACCTGATTAAGAATATTTTATGTAGCCTATGCATGCTCTCTCTATTTTTTTTTGGTTTCTCAGAATATAGTCATTAGTCTTGTTTATGGTAGATCTACAATGGCAATGTTCTACTGCAGAGCAACCCAATCAACAAGCTGAAGGCCTAGTTGGTCTGTCTCACAATGTGACTAATTCCCATTACCATCATTAGGAGTTATTCATATCCTGTGCTGTGAGTGTGTGAGGGTGCCTGTTCTGTCATGGTCTACAATATCTGCGCCAATTATAGAAGAAATATGCTGCGTGTATGCCAAGATTTGGTGAAAGTTGCTGAAGTCAGGAGGAGTCTTTCTATTGGCTTTAAAGACCTTTGAATCAAGGTGCCAAAAAAATGGAGAGGAAGACCAAACAAATGAGGGAAGCAAGGCTATTTTAGGAGTTCTACAGTGACCAATTAGATCAGAGCTAAGTAGAGATTATATTTATTTCAATAGAATAACTTGTGCTTTTAGATATGTTGGAAATAAAAGAAGAACAGGTCCCTATTAAGTAAAGCTATTTGTTTAGTGTCTGGGTTACTTTATCTAAGTTACTTTTACTTGTTTCCTTGTTCTTTGGTGGTGGTATCTGTTTTTGATTAGATTGCCCTAACTTGCTTTTAACTCAGAGGGATGGTAATCTTGAAAGAGCACCTTTTATACAGCCTCTATCAGAGATCTAACATTGATTTAATAGAACATCTCGTACCATCATATACTATTAAAACTCTGTCAGTGGCTGTCAGGAACTCACTCAAAGCACATAATTTGCCAGGTTTGCACCTAGAATGCCAACAGCTACTTTTGTTTGCATTAAGACACTTTCCTGGATTTTCTGCAGCATCCAGCTTAGTCTGAGCAGAGGGGAGGGGAGGGAAGCAACAAAAAGCTGGTTACAGGTCACTTTACCCAGCTCTGCAGGGCAAAACAGCAGAATGTATGTGCCAGCAGGGACTGGGGATTATTTCAGTGTGCCTACTCCCTCCCCCTTTCTCTTGCAACCCTGATATGCCCCATCTGGCAGGAGCTGTGAGGACAGAAGTTTAGGAGCTGGCTGTGCTGGCTTTGTGCCTCCTTGGTACTCTTTATGCAATTCTCTTTTCATGCTGCCTGGGCAGTGTAGAGGGGGAAAAGAGAGGACTGTGTTTCACAACCATTTACAACTCCCTTCACTGTTCAGAATGGACCCTGGGAAGCCTGCGACTGTCATCTCTTTCCTCTTTAGGTTGCATCATGTACAATCACTAGTTTATTGTCAGGTCACAATTGTTCTAGAGCAGGTATCTCTGGGTGATGACCAGTGAGGGGTTAATGTGTGGCCTGGGGGTTCCCACCAGGCCATCACTTCTTCCATTGATCCTGTTGCCATGGTGGTGTCTGGGGCAGGAAAGCCTGGCCAGAGGGGGCCTGATAAGCTCACTACCTATGTGGCAGAGAGGGGCTTGTGTTACCTGTGCACCAGTGCTCATGTGGAGGTGGTGGAGGGAGGGGAGGAGAGGTGGGGCAGCTGGTTTGCCCACAAAACAGCAGCAGTGGGCACGCTGTCCTACAGCATAGAGTGGGTCATGGTGTACGGCTCAAGGTTTACTCTTGAGTAGTTTACTCAAAAGTAAACTGCTCCCAGATTATTTGCATGTGTAGATGCATCCCGTGAGTGGCACACAGAATCCCTATTCCAGACCAAGCTATTGATGGCATGGTCATGCTTAAGAACTTACTGCAAATAGCTAGCAATGGATGAATGCCATAGCTAAAACTTAGTTGTCTTACTTTAGATGCCTAAATCCATATTTTTCTCAATTTGTTTTAATTCTTTTCTGGAAAATGTTTACCTTGCACTTTTGTGGAGGATGGGGGTGGATTTTATTATTATTATTATTTTATCTGAACCATCACCCCATGTAAATAACCTGCAAAAATCATCAGCCTGTATAAATAACCTGCAAAAATAACCTAATGGTGTTCTGTATAGTGCTTACATAACTGGTAATTAGTCATACTTTTTTGTCAGTGTATTCAACTCACTGTAGGGTTTGAATTTCCCCTGTGCTTGTTGGTGTTTAAAAGATCCTCTTACCAGGAAAGTCTGTAACTCATAAGAGCACAGAAATAGTTACAAGCGGACATCCGAGAGCTCCTGAGCCACATGAAATGAAGCTGATTAGGTCTGACTAAATGATTTGCAGCTGGGAGTCTATTATTCTGCTTCCAAAGCTTCATCACGGGAGAGAGACAATGAATGAACACTCTTAAAAGATAATGTGGCGTGTTTTCTTTGGGCATTATTGGCAAATTTTAATATATTTGAACAATAAAGTATGATTTTAACTAAGAGTTGTGGACTATCAATATATTTAGATTCTTTCTCTGACTGCTATAAGCAGCTTGAGCTGAGATTTAACAAGTAGCCAGTAGGGGTGTGCAAAATGGGCCGTATTCAATTTGGATTCAGATTAGTTGATTTGGATCAATGTCCCGATTCGATTTGGCCAAATCCATATCTGAAGATTCAATGCTGGTTCAGAGAATCAGTGATTTGGCCATAGACACAGCTTTAAATGTTTTTTCTACATACCTCGAGGTACCAGGTGCATCACGTGAACACTGCAATGCTGGAGTGGATGGAGTGTCCCACAGGAGCACGGGGGGTCCCCTGCGTGCTTGGCGGCAGACCTGGAAGTGGACTGAGAGTACTTCTGGTCCACTGCCGGTTCTGCTACTGAGCATGCAGGGGGCTCCCTCTCCTGCGCCCCCCACCCAGCTCGGCGATCGGCTGTGGGGGGACCCTGACCCAGGAGGCACCAGTCACTGAGCTGGGGGGAGGATTCCCCCCCACTCTGTGCTCTGCAGCAGACCTGGAAGTGGACTAGAAGTGCTTCTGGTCCACTTCCGGGCCCGCTGACAAACACACTGGGGACACGCCCTCCCCCCCCCCACACACACACA